TTGAGAATAAGCTGTACTGCTTATGTGGGCAAAGGGCAAACTGTTTCAGTAGTTCCCAGAATGTTCAGTATAGATTAATGCCATTTATGAAAAGTTTAAACATGCAAAAGTCATTGGGGGCAGTGAGAGCATTAGATTGGTGTCTGCAGGGTTAACTCCAGGAATGGAGCGGGGAGGTTTTGTAGCAACTTCAGTTCTCTGTGTGCTTTTTTCTTAAAAATCGTCCTGTAGTGGATGTCTGGATTCATGAGTGAAACTCACATCAGTAAGTATTATTCTGATGTATTTTTTCTAATTATTAATGCATCTTGGTGCTTTACAGAGACATTTCTGTGCAGTACGTAAAGGATTGCATCACACACATTTACCTGCGCTGATTAATCTGTCTATGCATGAAAGAATAGATCTCTAACTAGACAAATTTAGTTCTTGCACTTGCATACAGATTGATACCAGGAATATTACGGTTGGCCTGTCATTGGCTACATGATTTGTTAAAGAAACATGGAAATAGTCTCAAAGAAATGAGGAATTAATACAAGCTCTTTATATATCACACTGTACATTCCCAAACATGTCTGTATACGGGATCCTTTTATGGCAAATATAAAAATTATTTAAAAAATTATCCTGTAGCAAATGTGTCAAAATGTTTAGATTGTTCAGCTGAAAGGTATGTATGGAGAAAATAGATTTTTGTCCTCATATGTTTGAAATATTTTACAAGAAAATATGTATGTGTTGGGTGGGGTAAGTGTCAAGGAACCAGAGAGCGGCAGGCTTGGGGCTGATTCTTTTCCCTAATTTGTGTGGTTTTGGATAAATTACTTGTTTTCCCACTTGTGGCTCTTCACTTGAGATGCCACAGCTATTCTCCTGAACATTCAAGGAGTTACTACTGGGCAAGAACTTTCCAGTGTCCTTCTCCCCTTAAAAACATAAACTTTATTTTCAAATTTAAGTGGCTGGCATTGACTCCCCGCTCTTCTCCCAGCCCCACCCCATGCACACACGCACACTTATACCCTGAGATAAACTTTAGGTTTGGAATTCCTTTGGAGTTTAACAAGGGGCGACTTCATTTGAAACCTACATGGAATGTCCCTTTAACGTTCAGTAGTATTTTTTTTTTTTCCATTGCTCTTCCCATCTTCCTGTTTTATTGCATTTTTTTCTTTTATTTATTTTTTTATTACAAAGTTTATTTTTACATCATTTTGCACCTTTTTTTTTCCATCTCGATTGTAATCCCCGCGGGTTTCCCATCACCAGATCACCCCTGTGCCACCACCCTAGTCCCCTGCATTTCCCTCCCTTCCCCGCCCCCCCCCCCCGTTTTTGATCCCATTCCCCACTCCACCCCCACAGAATGTCTCTGGTATATGGTTGTTCATTATTTTTGTTATTTTCTCGCCTGGTCCATTATACTCCTGCTATGAGTGAAACCATCCGGTATTTTTCTTTCTCTTTCTGGCTTATCTCACTAAGCATGATCTTTTCCAGCTCCATCCAAGTTGCTGCAAAAGACATGTGTTTCTCTTTTTTGGTTGCTGAGTAATATTCCATTGTATATATGTACTCAGTAGTATTTTTTTTAAAGATTTTTAAAATGTATGTAGGCAAAGAACTAGGGTGTATGTCAGAGGTGCAGAGAGGTGAGAGGATTCACCAGAGACAGAGTGGGGAGCAGAACAGGCCAATCTATGGAAATATAGTGCTGAGGGAAGCAAGGGGTGAGACAGGAGAGGTCTGCTGTGCCAGGTTGGGTCAGGTTCCCTGCGCCACCAGGGAGGCCCCTGGACCTTTGTTCTTGGAGAGTTTAGGTCTGCCCTCTGGACAATGTTGAAAGACCCCTTTTCAAAACAAATGTTTGTTTTATAGTTCTGAGGCATACTGAGAAGTAGAATTCTTTCATTCTTTGATCATGAGTGCAGGTGACCATTTAGAATTGGAGGTTGATATGTCACTCCACAGATGCTTTCTTTATGGACGCCACACAGTTCATCCTTCCAGCCAGCAGCCAGGCCCTGCTTCTGTTGGACTGTTACCTGGGATCCTGAAGTGGGGAGTATGCAGGGGTGCTGCCTCCTCAGACAGGGACCAGCCACCCTGGGAGCCTGAGGGGCCCTGGCTGGAGACCCCAAACATTGGTTGATGATCTGAGCCAGAGCATGGAGGGGAGAGATGTGTGCAAAGTAAGTTCTGGCTGTGGCGCAGGCTCCAAAGTCTCCAGGTTGTGAGGGCTTCTGCCTCCCACCCCCACTTTCTTTTTCTGTCCCCTGCAATACAGATGCTTGGGAGTTAGCCCCGTGGCCCTCTGACCACGTTTTTGACCAGGTTCTGCAGCCTGTCGCTTCTCTCTCCATATGGCTCAGTCTAGAAAGCTGCCAACCTCCAAGGGGCCTTGTTAGAATTTAGTCAAATGTCACTGATGGGCTGAGGTATCTGGCAGGAGAGGTGCAGGTAGGTCAGCATAATTACACCCACTTCTAGTACACTACATTCATTGTAGGGAACACAGGGGCTATCCTCTATGTGGTCCCTCTTTGCTGGAAAGCAGGTTAAGTGATCCATGACTGCCCTTCAAAGGGCCCCCACTGTGGGTTAAAGAACCAGAAAAAGGCACCCCTCTGGGAAGAATTTGCTTTCAGGCATTGGCATGGGGACAAATATTGACAGCTCCTTGAGGAGCAAGTGTCCTTTCCTCTGGGTGGACCCCAAGGCCTATGCAGCAGGGGTGGGGGATGAGGACACAGACAGCTTTTCACCCTCTCTGGTGCCCCAAGTGTGGTGAAATTGTGTCTCCTACAGTCTCCTGGGTGCTGCGCCTAGTCTTAGCTCACCCTGGTGGCTGGACCCTCAGTGCCCACAGGCTGTGCTTCCCTCCCCACGCTGTAGGGCTCAGGTGAGTACTGGCACCCGGGCTCCCTGGGCTTTTGAGGACAGGCTCCCACTCAGCCTGGCACCCAAGGCTCATGTTCACTTCTGCTATCCCACTGGAAACCCTCTGCGCTTGCAACTTCCCTGCCATTGACTGGGAAAGCCCTGGGGTCCCTTCTCCAGTTTTTCAAGACTTGGTTCAAGCCAAACCTTCCCCAGTGCGTCTGGGGCACTTACCCCTTGCAATGCAGCCAAGGCCTGCTCTCTGCTGGGAACTGGGGGCACAAGGACCAGTCACACTATTAGGGGGTCATGGAAACATCTACTTTATTTTAAAATTGGGTGGAAATAAAGTACTCCAAGGATCAAAAATATTTTTTTCTTATATTAGAAAAACCTGCAGGACCCACAGAAACACTCAATCTTGCTTTGTTTTGTTTTTTAAATAGAGAAAGACCCCCGGAAGTAAAAGTACCACACACACACACACACACACACACACACACACACACAGAGCAGGGTAGCCCCTGTCTGCCCCTTCCCACCAGCTGACAAAGAGCTTCTGGGAGGTGGAACCCGCAGGGTGAGCCCTCGAGTCCTCGCCCAGAGCTGCTCTCCTGGAGGAATGGCCTGGGTAGACACTTGTGAGCCTGGAGCCTCCATTTCTTCATCTGAAAAGTGAAACTTTATCTTAGGGTGTCTGAGAGTTAAATGGGAAGTGGGAAAATGGTTGGGAACTACGGAGTTTGGAGCCAGACCTGATGATATGCAGGGTATGGAGGAGAGGCAGGTGAGAGGTTGTTAAAAGGGACTCTGCATGGCTGGGATATCTTACTTTTGGTAACAAACAAAATTACCCTATTAGTACATATAGGAAGAGAACGGGAAGGACACCCTGGTGTCTCACAGCAGCCAGCCCTCAGCGCTGGTGACCTTTGTGATTTGTTTCCACCACACTTAGCGGCATGTGAAGTCACCAGATCTATGTCTCATTTTTCCTTTGTGTCCCGGGGCCTGGCACAGGCGAAGGAAATATGGACTACTCCCCATTCTCAGGCCCTGCCTGGCACCTATTCGAAAGGAGTATAGACCTTCCTGAGAGCAAGGCCAGTGGTGGACAGCAGAGCAGTAGGATGAGACTAAGTTTACCCAATGTGACAACTTTCGCAGGTTTTCGTGGGGACTGAGGAAGAGATGACACATCTCCAAAGGAGACAGACACCTTTAGACTCTTGAAAATTTTAGTTTCCATCCCTCTTCAGAAACACTTGGGTGAGCTCCGGATGGTCCGAGTGCAGCTATGTTTCCCAAGGCTCTCAAACGCTGGCATCGTTTCCTTTTTATAGCCATGGGCGCCTGTTACATCGTCAACAGTATCAGATTTGCCTGTCGCCTTCGCCGCTGTGAGCCCAGCGCCCCCAAAGCTGGCAGCACACAGTAGGTGTTTGGAGAGTGCACGCATCCCTCAAGGATATCTAGGGGCGCTTGCTCCACGGTACAGCGGGGTACCTTCTGAGTGGAGTCATTAAAACCCACGTCTAGGTAATAAGATTCCACATGGCCTCCCGCACCCTGTAATTTGGATCTCCAGGAATCGCCTTTGTTGTGGGCGACCAACCACAGGCAAAGCAAGCACCTGCTCCTCCAGCCGGCCCTCGCACGAGGACCCTAGGCTGCCGTGCCCCCTGGCTGCCTTCCGGGGTCCCTCCTCTGAGCTTCCCGGGAGCTGCTCCCCCCCCGCACCCCTTTCCTCCTGGGCAGCCTGGGCCTCGCAGTCTGGGTCTGCCCCAGCGCGCTCCAGCTGTGGTGGCGCGCGTCCCCAGGTGCCGGGCACCCCGCCCGGGGCCAGAGATCTCCAGCTCCTCGGACCGGGTGGGGGTGCTAGGGCTGTGTCTAGGGCCTCGTCCGGTACCTCAGGCCGGCTGGGACAGGAGCCTGAGTCACGGCGGCGCACGCCCTCTCCTCCCAGCTTCCATCCTGGGGCCACCTCCGCCTCGCCGCGTCGGAGCCCGTGCAGCCGGCTCTCTTCGGGTCTACTGCGCGCCCCGCTCCAGGGCTTGAGTCTCCGCGGCCGCGGCCCCAGCTCTGGGGGAGCCTCGCCTGTGTTCCCCCAGAGCTAGATGGAGAAGCACGAACTCCCAGCGCAGCCGGGCGGCTCCCGCGGGAGGGGGCGCGGCCGCCCCGCGGCTCCACCCTCTCGGCGGGGCCGCCGCCATCTGGGGCCCCTGCCAGTCGCGTCCGCCCCGGGGCCCGCGCCGAGCTCGCGCCGGAGGAGGCAGCCCCTGGCAGCCACCGAGTCCTCCCCACCCGGCGATTCTCCGCCGGCGCCGGCGCTGGGAGCTGGAGCTGAGATGCCCCGAGGGGGCAGTGGCTGGAAGCCGAACCTGGGTGGAAGCGCATTGCTGCGGACGCGGGCGCCCCTCGCCACCCCGGTGACCCCTCAGGCGCAGGGACCGGAGCTCCGGAGGCGACGGAGCGGGCGCGCGAGGGCGGCGAGGTCCGTGCTCCCTACGACCGGGGCGGGCGCCGGCTGCGGAGCTTCGGTCCGGCTCATCGCCTCCTGCCTTTCCCCCTCCAGCCCCCCGCGAGCTGGCAGGAGGAAATAGCGCGCGGCCCCTTTAAATTTACCCAGGAGCCCTTAAAGGAGCCCCAGGGGCCCCAGACAGGAATCCCCACCCCGGTCCAGCCCGCGCCGCCGAGCGAGCAGCCAGCCGTCCGTGCGGCCGGCAGCACCGTGCATGCGCCCC